ACAACGTGCCTTCAATCAGAGTTATGCGCCTCGATAGACCTGCTCATGTGTTCTCAGCAGAGGAAGTCACCGACGATAAATCGTGGTTCTATGACATTAAACGTGTTCTTCAAACTCAAGAGTACCCGCCTGGGGAATCCAATAAAGATAGGAAGACGTTGAGGAGATTGGCAAGTAGTTTCTTTCTCAATGAAGGAGTATTATATAAAAGGAATTACGACATGGTCTTGCTCAGATGTGTAGACAGACATGAAGCAGACATGTTGATGCAAGAAGTACATTAAGGATCCTTTGGCACTCATGCCAATGGACATGCAATGGCTAAAAAGATGTTGAGGGTCGGTTACTATTGGATGACAATGGAATCTGATTGCTGCAAATATGTGAAGAAATGTCATAAATTCCAAATTTACGCGGACAAGATACATGTACCACCGACCCTCCTCAATGTTATCTCTTCACCTTGGCCTTTCTCTATGTGTGGCATTGATATGATTGGAATGATTGAACCCAAAGCTTCAAATGGTCATCGTTTCATCTTGGTGGCCATCGACTATTTTACTAAATGGGTGGAAGCAGCATCTTATGCTAATGTAACCAGACAGGTGGTAGTCATATTTATCAAGAATCAGATTATTTGTCGATACGACATCTCGGGCAAGATCATCACTGATAATGGGTCAATTTTGAATAATAAAATGATGAGAGATCTTTGTGAAGAGTTCAAGATCGAACATCATAATTCTTCTCCCTACAGGACAAAGATGAATGGGGCTGTTGAAGCTGCGAACAAGAACATTCAAAATATTATCCAGAAGATGGTGGTAACTTATAAAGATTGGCATGAAATGCTTCCGTTTGCTCTGCATGGGTACCGTACTTCAGTTCAAACTTCAACATGCGCAACCCCATTTTCCCTAGTATATGGCATGGAAGCAGTACTCTCCGTAGAGGTTGAGATCCCATCTATGAGAGTTTTGATGGAAGCTAAACTTTCTGAGGCTGAATGGTGTCAAAGTAGATATGATCAGCTGAATTTAATTGAAGAAAAGAGATTGACAGCGTTGTGTCACGGTCAACTATATCAGCAAAGAATGAAGAAGGCATTTGATAAGAAGGTTTGACCACGCGAATTCAGAGAAGGTGACCTCGTGCTCAAGAAGATATTATCTTTTGAACCTGATTCTAGGGGCAAATGGGCTCCGAATTATGAAGGACCGTATGTGGTTAAGAAGGTTTTCTCTGGAGGCGCCATGATTCTCACAAATATGGATGGTGAAGAACTCTCGCGCTCCGTGAACACCGATGCAGTCAAGAAATATTTCGCCTAGGTTTGAATTGACAGTTCGCTAAGTTGAGAACCCGAAGGGGCGGCTTAGGCAGGCTTTTGGTCAAACCAATCTTGGCATTTGAGCACATCTCGGGATTCGAAGTTGTTAGGGAGAATAGTGATCATTATTTTTGTGTAACCTTTTTCTTTCATGTATTATTTCCCAAAATTGTGTAAACAGTTGGAGTCGCATTGTTAGCGAACTACCATCTTATTAATGAAATTTGAGCATTTATCTTTTTGTGGGCAAAATTTTAGTTTTTATGGCAATATTTGAAACAAAGTTAAAAAGTATTTCTATTTTGAAATGTGTCATGAATACTGGAAGGAATATTAACAGTTGCTCTGAGGATGGTTAAGCCATGAAATGCAAAACAATACAGTAATTCATCCTTGTATGATGAACTTGTTTTCTTTCAAAATCGTCATGAGGTGTTGGTTGTGTAAACTTGCGTTTCTTGTAGAGTACTAACTTGGTGACTCCCCAGCAATTCCGGTTAAGCTTTGTTTCGGTTATCTCTAATTGGACAAATTTCTGAAATGTAGTACATTTTGTATCATGTCAATGGTCTATTGATGATTAGAAGATTGGATTTGAATACTTTTCTCCCCAGAAAGACTTGAGCCTTATTATATGATACGCCCTGACGTTGCCTTTTATTCCGATTCTAGTTATTTTTCGTCTCTTTGAGATTGGCCGAGTATCTAATTATTTTGTGATATCTTATCATCTTCAATTTATTTCCTCTATCTATTTTATCAATATACACATGACATTCATTTACTCATTTACACTTATATCACACATGCATATTTACATTTGTCGGTGATATGGGGGTCATGTATCTTGTTTATGTTTATTCAAACAGTGTACCTGTTCTTTCCAAGTAGAATGTTAACTTAGGCAGAAAATGTGCTTCCTTTCTAATTCCCCAACTGAGCCAATCCTCGTGGATGAATTTTTGATTTAGCCTTCCTTGTCCATCTCTGGATAGGGTGAATCCCCAATTGGGTTATTTTCTCATTAGGTGGAGTCTTGTTTGACTGTCTTCTCTCTGGTTTGTTCCTGGATTGAGTTTTGTCTCTTGCATAGGCTATCTCGTAGTTTTCTCTGGGCTAGGAAACCTAGATGAATGGTGCATTTATTTTGTGCATTTAAGTATGTGATCTCCTCAGGAAAGATCTATTCATGGTTCCATTTGAAGAAGAATTTTATTCCCTGGCAGTGTTATTACAACTTTCTTCTGAAACATCTTTGGAAAACGACAAGTGGCGGTCTCTTCATGAGCAACTTGTGAGTTATTAACATCTTTGGAAAACGACAAGTGGAGGTCTCTTCATGAGCAACTTGTGCGTTATTAATATATTTGGAAAACGTCAAGCGGCGACCTCTTCATGAGCAACTTGTGCGTTATTAACATCTTTGGAAAATGACAAGCGGCGGTCTCTTCATGAGCAACTTGTGTGTTATTAACATCTTTGGAAAACGAAAAGCGGCAGTCTCTTCATGAGCAACTTGTACGTTATTGACATCTTTGGAAAACGGCAAGCGGCGGCCTCTTCATGAGCAACTTGTGTGTTATTAACATCTTTGGAAAACGACAAACGGCGGTCTCTTCATGAGAAACTTGTGCGTTATTAACATCTTTGGAAAACGACAAGCGGCAGTCTCTTCATGAGCAACTTGTACGTTATTGACATCTTTGGAAAATGACAAGTGACGGTCTCTTTATTTGAGCAAGTTGGGCGTATAGTTTTCTTGAAAGACAACAAGTGTCGGCTTCTTTGTTTGAGCAGCTTGTATGTTATAGACATCCTTTGAAGATAGCAAGTGGCGGCCTCTTTATTTGAGAAACTTGTGCATTTATTGATATCCTTTGAAGACAGCAAGTGGCGGCTTCTGTATTTGAGCAGCTTGTGTATCTACAACCATATATTATTTCAGCATCAAATGGTATCTCTCCGGAAAATTACCATAGAGAAGTTTGTTGTGAATCTCTACCTTCAGGAGTCGGTAGTTCACTATCGGCAAAAGTTGACACATCTTTTGTCTATTTTGACCTTGAATTGTGAACTCACCATCATCTTGGGTCGATAATCTGTTTTTTTTTCGTGACCTATGCATGGCGTTTTCTTTGTTAGGGTCAGAAGTTGTCTTCTCTCAAATTTTATTCTCCGTTAAGAGTTTATCATTCGAAGTCGATGGCTCATTTCCCCAGTAGTGTATAATCTCTGTTCCTGTGGGTTATTTGTGCTTAGTTTCTCCAACATTATTTTGTCTCATACAGTATCATTCTTCATAAAGTTCAAATACTACATTCATATCATAAACATAATGGCGGTATCTTAGGGCAAAAATTGCGTATTATGTATTTAAGTACCTTCAATCTCGTCGAGACGAAGATTTCGATCTTCATATCTCCGGATAGAAGAAACTTAAATAGGGGCAGCTGTCATACCCCAATATTTGACCTAAGATCCCTGCTTCATTTGCATTATTTCATATATACATCAAGGTCACAGAATATGATAGGTTTTGAACGTCTCGCCTTCAAGCTTTGACTGTGTATAGATTATCGAGTGTTGTGAGTATTTTTATCTTATGAATGACTAACCACTAATCAAGCACGAAGTGTATGTTTTGTTGTTTTGTTTTCATGTGCAGGAAATAGGTCTGAAAGAAGAGCATCGGACGTCGCACATCAATTAGGGTTTCGAGTCTCGGGGCAGAAATACGGTCGGTCGTTAATTCTACAAAAAACTTATTCATCAAAAGAATTTCAGAGAATCGTGCGTTTATTTCCACACTCTGTCCAACAAATGGTCTCTAGTTTCTCTGAATATTTTTTCAGAAAGGACAGTCGAAGTTCTACTGTCTTTGGTTCATGTGTGTTTCATATTATTCTAAAATACAAGAAAACCAAGCTATGCCCGTCATTTTCGATCAGTTCGACCAAAGGTCATCTGCAAATTTTCTCATGACGCAGGGTGAATTTCGTCAAAATGGAATGATTAAATTCAAAACCGTTCTAGAAGAATTTATTCGGAATACTTGGAATTTTCTTTATTTGAATTCAAGCGATAATTAAAGAGGAGCTACCGAGAGATCTCATTCAAGAATAATCATTTATCGCATGAAATATTTATTCAAGATTATTTTTGTGATTATTTTGGTGGATTTACATTATGGTTATTTGAACACACGTGAAGCATTTATTCAAGAAGATATTGGGAAAAGTAATTTGATCCAATTAATCGTTCATCACAAGATTAATTACATGAGGATTTCTATTTGATTACAAAATCAATTCATGTGATTTATTTAGATCTCTAGTACAAAATGCAAGATTAAAGTCTAAAGACTTGCATTATTATTTATTCATCATTCAACAATTTATTCAAGTATTATTCAATTCTTTCCCAATTTAAATGGAAGACCTTGAATTTTTATCAAGACATATCAAGATTCATTTTCATATGAAGATTCAAAGCTATTTATAATTACAAGGGAATTGAGAATATATTGAAGAATACATGTTCATTCATGTTACAATTTATTTGGATTTATTGTTACAAAGTTACAAAAGAAATACAAATTTTGTACATGAAAATCAAGCTATTATTCTTGCTACAAAACAGTCCCAATGTTGCCCATTTTTCCAGCACTGTTTTAATCCAATAACAGTCCAATTTTGAGTGTAATGTTGTCCATTTTCTCCAACCTTGTTTCAACAAAGACCATGCCAAGCTGCTGTCCTAATCTGCCCTACAAAACAGTCCAGATTGCAGCCCATAAGACAAAAATCTGCACCTTTGCTGCTACAAAAAACAGTCTACAAAACTCCAAATATTGCACTAAAATGTATACTTCAAAAAGCTATCTCATAAAACATCAAAACATGGCCTAAAATAGTTCAAACCTCTACTGTTTTCCCCCCTAAAACCCCACACATTTCACTATAAATAGAGGCCTCCATCAACACAAAAAGGAGACAACAAGAGAAACACAAAAATTCAGCAAGAGGGAAAAAAATAGAAAGAGAGCTTTTGTTCCAAAAATTCAGCAAGAGAAGAAAACAGAAAGAGAGCTTTTGTTCCAAAAAATTCAGCAAGAAGAAAAAACAGGAAAAGAGGAAAAAAATTAACATTTTGAAGCCCCAACGGAGAGGCTCCGATAGGTATTTTCTTCCTCCTTATTTATTTCTGCATAACTTCCTCATTCATATGTTTGAATATTCTCTTTACACCACTTTTATACCATGTGAATGCTTGCTTATCATACCTTTTTGCTGTATTTTGTTTGCTGCAATATGTGGACATTTAAACATGTTTAGGGATGATAATAATAATAAACACCGACAGAAAATGTATAGTAAATGACAGAATTCAGAAAAGTATATACCTTCAAATCTTTTCTGAACATACAAACCTCAATACATCTCAAGTTTTCCTCTGTTTAACGAAACCGAACAATAGACAACGTTTCCCCCCCTTCAAACAGCTCTTGCGGTTAAACAACATTTATCTCGGACTCTAGGTTCTGTTTTCATCTACCTTCTACCTCAAATGACCCGAATCTATGTTGCCTGTCCAAAACTCAACCTCTTGCTTCTTTTCCAAGTTTTCCATCACCACCATTTTTGTTAGTCACTATCTTCACAACAACTTACCTCCATCCCTCTTCCTCTTCAGCTTTTCAGTGGCTTCATGACAGGATGCTTGACAACAGTTCAACTGATACCTGGCTAAGCGGGGCTTCCAGTTTTAAGAATGTGATGAAGCCGTATGAAGAATCTGATTTAGTGTAGTACCCTGTAACACCTGCCATGGGTAAGCCATTACTTAATGGACCTAAGTGTATAAACAATTTTAAGTAAAGACATAAGGAAACACTCCAATGTTTAGGTTCTTTTCTAGAAAGTGACTGAAGATGAATTCAAAAAACTCAGAGCAAAACAGAACAGAAGTATACACACATAACATCATAGATAGACATAAAACTCACCATAAAAGTTCTCAAGTTCTCCTGACACTTATCTCGTTTCCATCTCATGGACTCACCTTTCTTCAATCAACTCAAACCCGCTGCGACAATGCTCAATGCTCAAACACACATCCACTTGCGACGACACAAGAACAAGAAAAACAAAAAAACATTAGAATATCCATGATAGTAACCTCACCATAGATCTCACTCATATAACCATCCATTTATCATCATCACCTTCATGGTATACACCAGCACAACATAAATTTCTGGAAGTAACCTATAGATGAAGAAAGAAGAAACTTGTAGAAACAGAGGAAGTAGAGTAATACCTTGAACATGTTCTCAGAGTTGTTTTAATTTGGTTCAAAATCGAAAAGAAGTAGTAGAAGTAAGGAACAATGGTGCACAACCACCCGAGGCTCTCCAACGATATCTTCCGTCTCTGCCTGTGCAAGCTCCGACAGAACCTCCATTAAACCACCAAAACAACTAACCTGCAAAAATATCAACAGAAAAGTACTTCAAACTAAGGAAAGGAAAAGAACCAGATTACTGTACTTGTTTTATTAGTGAAAACCTCCTATCTTTAATGAACCGATTGGAGTTGTCAAGTTGTTGTTGTAACCAATAGAGATTAAGACCGTGAGAGAATAAATAGAGTTGTGCTTTCGGTTGAACCATGAGAACCCCGAAACCGATTTGTAGTTGGTGGTTTTGTAAACCGTTAGTTGAGAGTTAGAAGTAAGAAATCAAAACCAAAATCATAAGAGAATTATAAAACATGTAAGAAATTCAAAGAATCAAGACAAGAGATCTGAGAATCGAGGAACTCAGCCGTGAGATTGAACTTCCGATTGGGTCTTGTTGTTGTTGATCAATTAAAGCAGCGAGGGAGGTTTTGTTGTCGTCACTGTGCATCAAGGAAAGAGGGAACCGCCGAGATTTTTTTGCTTGTTGTTCGATCGAAAGAGAGGAATCCGGCTGGGGGGTTCAATGTGTTGATATGGTCTGTGATGAGAGAGATGAAGCTGTGAAGAACTTGCTTGATAGTGTGAGAACCAAATAGAGATAAGAAGAAGCGTAAGAGCAGAGAGAGAATATGATGTGTTGTGTTTTTCCAAATCTTGTTTTTTTTAATCCATTTTTAATTAGGAATATTGGTGTTTTAATGTTTGAACAAATCCCCATACATGCCAGTCGCCGCGCCTTCCTTGTTCCGTTAGGGTTTCAAAAACCCTTCTTTTTTTTCCTCCAAGGGTCAGTTCGGGTTTGGGCCTAAATTTTAGAGCCCAACCCGATTGTTTTTACCTTCTTTATTTGACTTAGAGATTACCTAACACAAAGACATCATTGGTTTAGTGGTTGAGCCAAATGGTTGTGATCTAAAGAGGCTGAGTTCGATCCTTGGTGTGGGGACGTTTTCTTTTTTGCTCTTTTGCCCTTCTTCTTCTTTCAATTTCATTGAAACTTGATTATATATAGTTTAGTTTATTATATAATTATTATTTCACTATAAAATATAAAAAACATGTTATTATAACTAATATTTATTTAATTTTTGTTAATATGCTTTAAATCTTTTATTATTTAATTATTCAAAAATACATGTTTCATAATTTAGGTTTCATTTAATTTTTGTTATTTGTTTAATTGTTAAAAAATACACGCTATAGTAATTTAGTCTTTATGTAATTTTGGTTATTTACTTAATCGTTTAAAATGCATGCTAGTATAATTTAATTTATTTGATTGTTCAATTGTCGTTTTGATTAATTTTATCATCGATCGTTTATATCTTTCGTCCGTCTCAAATCCAAGGGAAATGTTTTAACTTAGTTGACTTCACGTCATCAAACACGTCTCATCCAATCGTGCGAATACCCTCATTCATATTTTGTTTGTTTACTATTTTGTTAAACCTAAGATAATTTTCCTAAAAGATTCAATTTTCAAACTCACACCTTTAAAGTCAAAACTTTGACATTAGGTCGTCGTATCTTCAAAATCTCGTCCATACCCATTTTTAGCCAAACAAACTATTTTAATCAAACAAACAATTTTAATAAAAAGATATTTCAAAAGGTTACTATATGATACTATAGATGCATTGGGTGCTAATACCTTCCCATTGTATAACTAACCCCCGAACTCTAGATCTCTTTTCAAAAAAACGCATTGTGTTTTCGTTACTTTTAAGTATTATTTTACATTGCATATTTTAGGGTTTTATTTCGCTCTTTTCCCTTTTCCCTTGGAAATAATAAAGCGTGGTGGCGACTCTTGCTTTTGGTGAGACGAGTTATTAATAGCTCGATCTCCGATTTACCCCGCTACATTTTTTATCGCTACACTATCTTTTTCATTTGTGCTAGTAGAAGCCATTAAAAAATATTTCTCATCCTGAATCTCTCTACACGGTTAAGTGTTTAATTAGAAAATCAATGACTAAGCCAAAGCTCTGATACCAATTGAATATAGAGAAAAACACAAGAAGGGGGGTTTGAATTGGGTTTTTAAAATCTTTTACAAAACTGTTTTGGCGACTCAGCACACAATTGAATAATAAGTACAATGAAAGCTAAAAAGAACACAATTATTTTTATACAAGTTCACCTTAGGAATAAGGTTACGTCTTGTCCATCCGCCAAGGTGATTTCTCCTTTGAAAAGGACTTAATTCACTAATCTTGAAAGATTACAAACAACCTCTAAGAGTCTAGAAAGACACCTTAGCCCTCTCAAGTATACAGACTAGAAAGTCACTTGAGGAAAATAACTGTTTGAAAATTACAATGAAAAGTTTATAGCCTGCTTCTTTGATAAGCAGGATAAACACAAATTAAAATAATATATAAACACTAAAATATGACTTTTTCTATCGAACTTTATGCGTTATATTTTTCTTGATAGTTTCGTAATTTTGAGTGATGATGATGTGCTCTTTATATAGGCCTTCTAAAAGAGTCTGTTGGAGCAAATAAGGAAGGAACAATAAATGGGTATGGTGATGTTCCTTTTTTGTCACTCTATTCAAAGAAGAATTTGTGCCTTTAATGATAACAATGATTGCATAGAAAAGCGCATTAAATCCTTGGTCTGATTCTGTCTATAAAGTCTTTGATGCTTCTATTATTTTGATGCTTCTGGAGTCAGCGGTCTAAGAGCAAAGCTTCTTGTTGCTTCTTATCATAATGTGAGTTTCATCGCAAACATATGCAAGACTTCTGACGAAACTTTGCATGGTTGTCCTTTCTTCAAAAACTCTACACAAGTGCTTTTGATCTTTTCTTTAGAAATGTTGGTCAAATAAGATTAATTTCTTGCATGTCATAAACTTGGAGCACAAATGATTCCATATAATATACTTTTGTTATCATCAAAACAAGAACTTGTCTAGAAACACTTTTTGTTCTAACAGGTACCTGCTCTGATACCAATTGAAATTCTGGTACAAGCAACATACATACATCTCAATATCAGAACATAATGTTAAGACAGATGTTAGAACATCTGGTAGTAGACCAGATCAATTAAGTTATAAGTGATACAAAAATAAAACTTTAGAATGACAAATAACACATAGAGGAGCTACCAAGACATGAAGGAAGTCCACTATCAGTAGTATTAGTTCAAAGCTAAATTCTCTTGTTTACAACTTCTCGTCTAAACCATATCCAATGCAACTTCTACCTAGGTTCTCCCTAAATATGAGAAATCACCATCTCACTTCCTAAATAACCTCGGAGATATCTAACAGTCTCAATCCCAGTGAGTGCAACAAATACAATCTAATTTAGAAGATTACACTTCAAATACAAAAACTCAAAACTCTTGCTTAAAAGCTTCAAGTGAGAATAATACTCAACTCATTACCTAAAGGTTTCTGAGTGAGAATAATAACTTGATTAACAGTCAAGCAAAAATCAGTCGATCATATAATATCAAAAGATACAAGGGTGACTTACAAACTACACAAGAGACTCTCAAATCCTAAGACTTATCACTACGCCAAATAAGCTATTTAATAGCGCTTTTTTTTTGTTTTTAATAGCGCTTAAAAGTGCTATTAACCGCGCCACTATTGTAAATATTTCTTATTTAATAGCACTTTAAAAGCGCTATTAAAGTACCAATTTATAATAGCGTTTTAATTAAAGTGCTATCAAAAAGCGCTAATATATAACATATGTTTGATAGCGCTTTCAAATAAAGTGCTAATAAATGGTACATATTTGGTACAATATTTTTAATAAGTACAGTACAATATTTTTTCTTACACAATCATTTTTTTTGGTGTAAATATAAAATAACTATATTCAATTCAACACAAATAACGCTTTAAGTTACTCATTGCATATATATTATGATCCATCAAATACCAAATAACATTTTAAATTACCAAATCCTATTGTTTCCAAATATCATAACATATAGAATATTAAGAGGGCGTTTGCATAGCCAAATTTGTAGATGCCCATCTATGAGTATTTCAATCCAAATCCAAAAACATACAATCAAATTCTCTAAACAAAACACCAAAAAAATAAGAAAGGATAACAAAACAACTTCAGTTTAGGTTGTTGCCTTTCTTCCACTTCTTCAGTTTGTTGCCTCTCTAGCTTCTCTCTATCCAACTTATCTCTCTCAATCTTTTCTCTCTCTAGCACCTCCAATCTACTTTTGAGTGAATTACAAAAGCCATACAATTTTTCAAAATCCATTTGTGTGGGGCGATTTTGGCGTGGTAATATGTCCCTAGAACATACCCCAAAACCATAAGTCCTAACACGTCCAGAGTAGTTTGGGAGATTAAGAGCCTCAAATAATATGTTTGTGGGACCAAGGTCTTGTCTCTCTTCTTCAGATAGAGCTTCTGTTAACTTCTCCTGACATTGATAAGTATAAAAGAAATAACCAATAGTTAGATACAAGTTGCAATTAATGGCTATTCTATCAAAATAAGACACAAAGACTCAATTAATTAAGGAAAATCGAGTTTAATGACTTCAAACTAACTAACAAAATACAAATTCGGTAACAATGATGAGTATAGAAAAAGTGTCACATCTATAATGTGAGCATTTTGGAAATAACATCTATAGTGTCACATCTAAAATTCGACTTACACATTGATCCACAACTCTTTGAACATTCTCATTATCAATCACCCCGCTCTTATTGACGCGGGCAGCCTTCCACACTTGACTACGGTTTATCTCACCAACTTCTGACTCTTCTACCTGTATATACATTTTTACAAATTAACATAGCAATTAAATTTTTTTATAATATTGTATAGTACATTTATACACATACTTACCATATCAGCTTCAAGACGAGCACACCCTAAACGTGACTTCATGAGCATCTTTAGGTACAACAAGATTGTTTTCAACTGCCTGAACCTGAACCAATCCTTACATCAGTTTGAAGTTCTCATCTGCTTTGTCTTTTATAAAGCACTTCTCAAAAACAAAAACAAAAAAACTTGAAAGCAGTTTACTTAGAAAACGTACTAATGATTGAATGTGTTCTTGTGATTCAGGTTGATTCTGGCAAATAGAAGTTACTATTTGCGGATACATATCGAGCGTTCTTCCAGAGGATACAACTGCTTGCATGAGATAAGGTTTAAGTTTGAAGGCACAATTTGTAATTACTTTCTCCCCCAAGGTCCAACAAATAGGTGAAATAGTCTGAGAAACTGCATTTGAATCTTTTAGAATCTCGTATATGGATATAACATTTTCAATTGTCAATAGACCGATAATACACCATTCCAAGAAATCTGACTTCCTGTTCTGGAGAACTTCTTGTAAAAAATGAATATTATGCTGCAAGTAACCAAATCAACATAATAAGCCTTAGTTAGATAGCATAATCTATAGTAAAATAATTAAATATAAATGGTAGTTTGATGATATTTCTCTTCAAGTTTTTCTCCTTTCCCTGTAATAATTCTAGCATATTACATACCTCAACAAATTTCAATTTGTAATCTAGGTTTCCAAAGCGTTGTGCTACTTCGTACTCCTCCCTAAGATACTCGTATATTTGAGCATACTTTGCATCCCTCCAAGCAATTTCTGATCTGATTAATCCATGATAAAAAAGATGAATGAAGAGGCTCAAAACAAGTTCAATGAATTGAATTTTTACTATTATTGTCTATTAAGATGAAATGAGACTATACAATTGTTTCTGAATATTTTGGGATATGTAAGCTTAAATCAAGTGCATATTTTTCTTAGGACTAAAACAATGATGATAATACCTTTCGAAGAGACCAACTTTAAGAATCACATCAGCCAAATTTGAGTTAGCCTTCCCAACAAGCTGAAGTAGTTTCTTCTTATCCATAGTGAAAGTTCCGGTTTTTTCCATTCCACGATTTATGCCTGCAAACTCTTCAACTAAACCATCAACCTGGTAATTAGTGAAAACCAATGTCAATTTTTCAATGAATGTTTTTCATTGGGATTAAAAATAGCCAAAAAAGTAATGGAAAATAATATGGATTGCCTGCAGTCAATAATCCATGCATTCAAGCGGTTAGCATATTAACGGCTTCTGGATCGACAGTCCAAATTTCGAGCTTGGTATTTTAGTTTTAAAAAAAAATTAATTCGATCTCGATCCAACAGTCACCGATGTGCTGACTGCACACAATCCAAATCCAAGTAATAAGGCATTTGGCACATTCCAACCTGTGAGACAAAATAATCCAGAGCTATGCTTTGTCCCAGCACACTTCCAATTAAACGAATGCCATCAGTGTCCAAAGATTTCAGAACTATGTAGTCTGGACCACCTTGCATATCCTCGACTAATTGTGGTTTCTCCCTTATTGCATAATCTAATCATAAAGCACGAGTTACAAGAAAAGAAAAAAAAATGTAATTTACACATTTTTAATCTAATAATAAAGAGTTGAAACAGGACTGGGTTTCTTCTAAGCTTCAGTAAAACACAATCTGAAAAAACAGCCCAAAAAGTATTCTCTAACCTCTCAATTCCATCATCTTCTCCGGGAGTGTTCATTCTAAAGGAAGCAAATTATCATAATACTATTCCCTAAAAGAAATAAGCAATTTGAAAGGGAAACTATTAGAGGAGAATGAATAGTGTTATTGATGATTCCTCTTTCTCTAAGGTTGATAGAAAACCATGGTCAGAACATTTATCAAACACTTTGCGGGCAAACCAGAAGAGATAATGAGATTGATACAAGTGGGGCAAAGCTATAGAGAAGAGAAAAGAACGGAGAACGGTGGTGGATGACTTACCGCGAGTGACACGGATTGAGAGCGGCGGAGATCGGAAAGCTCAGAGACGATTGACAAGGAGGTGTCTCCAGTCTTGTTGTTTGGACGTGCAACTGTCAAAATCACCCATAAAATAGCACCAACACCCAATTTGGAACCACATTTACACAACACAACCAACAACTTATCGAAGGCAAAAATAGAAAAGCTTCATAAACTATTATAGAGAACAATATAATTCTAAATCAATAACAAACCATCAACAAGAATATGTTTGGTATACTTTAGAAAATCCACAGGTATTCATTTGGTCCCAAATCAACTGTGTATATTTCAAATTTTCAAATGTTAACCCAAATGTAGCAATGATAACAATACATATGAATGTTGCATCAAAGGAATTGAGTCAGTCATTGGAAAGGCAAGCACATAAAGAATTTTTCACAGCACTAACCTTAGCCGCACGGAAGGATTCGATGGATCAATATACAGCTGAATAGCAGACAAGGAGACATTGTAATACTGTGTAACAGATTCGTTACCAGACAACACCAATGGAACACCAGCCCCATATGCACTCCACTCCTTAAAAGATTCCCACAAGTCCCCAAGCACAAAGTACGGTTGCAATTCTGTCTCCATTGTTTTCAATCTCCTCTTACTTCTCTGTTTGTTTATACAGAAATTAGCCCAACAATTTCCTTCCATAATAAACCAACAAAGAGAAAAACTAACAGTGCCTTTAATATAGTTTCAAATAACCATATTATACAATTTCTTTGCACTATTAACTCAATTAAGTGGTAGTTTCAAACAAAGCCGTCTTAAATTTTCAGGAGACCCTATGTAGGTTAATTGCAGTTTAAGTGTGACACATATTTTATGAGACCCTATTTAACCTCAAGGACGGCCTGGTTTCAAAGTAAGCCTCATTACAATAATCAATTGAATTCTTGATCACATTAACCAAACTTGTCTTAGTACGTAACTCCATTAGCGAGATAAGAGACATTGAAGTCGTTTAAAATACGACGAGGTTCATTGCTTGATTCATGAAAATTGACATAACTACCTTACTAACATTTGTCTATAGTATACACTTTTTTTACATAAACCTAACACAAATTTCAAACCCTAAAAACTAACAATAACAAATAACTTACTAACATTAGTCTATAAGAAAATTCATGAACCAAATTCAGAGTTTAAATCATAAAAAACTAACATTTTTCTATAAAAATTATAAACCAGACACGAATGTGATTGAAATTCCAAACATTTCACAACAAATTAACAAAACTGATCATAGCATGAAAATTGAAAAGCATACCATGGGCCGGTATTGAGCGGGAACAAAAGGAGTGGTATGTTGTATGAATTTACACAAATTGGAAGCTTCGCATATTGTCTCATGTGAAGAAGAAACGGAGTTATCAGAAGAGGAACAAGGTCTGTTATTCTCCATCAACGTCAATTCCTGCTCCTGCTCCTGCTCCTGCTGTTGTCTCTGTTTTCGCAGGGCGGGCGGGCAGTAAAAACGATTCTCGACGTGATGGCGGGTGTTACGACGGCCGACGATGACAGCGCCACCAGAAACCGACATTGTTGTTTGCTTCCAGCGATGGCAGTTTGAAGAAACGACGTCGTTAAGATGTAGGTCACGACTTGTGAGTCCACCAATAAACAATGTTTTGTCACTGTGGCAAGTGATAGTGTCAAACACAGGGTTTTTATCAATTAATTAATTAATTCATTATTATATATAAGATAGCGCTTTTTAATAAATGCTATTATATAGGTAGTCAAATAATAGCGTTTTATACAAAATGCTATCTTAAAGAAGTTTAATAATAGCGTTCTGGTACAAAGTGCTATCAAAATTACATAGTCTGTATTATATAATAGCGCCCGATTAAAAAGTGCTATTATAAATGTGTTTTTTCCATTTTAATAGCATTTTTTTTAAAAGTGCTATTAAATTAGGTGATACAAAAAATCATTTTTGGCGTAGTGTATGCTTCCCCTAATTTTACAATTGTTGAAAAATTTAAATTACATTAGGTTAGTTCTTCTCTTTAAATACACTTCTTCAATTCATGGCTTCGAAATCTCCATAAGATATTTCTTGATCCACAAGCTGAGAGTTGTATCTGTTGTGCAACAAAATCTCCTTAAATCTTGAAACATACAATACAAAGTTTTCTAAATTGTCTCAAGGTCCAATTTAAGAACTAATACACAACTGAAGATATAAAACCCGTTCTAGATTAAATCTTCCTGACCTGCAAAATTTACTAAAACATATCCAAAAGAAATATTTCATAATCAAATTAAATCTGTCAAGATTTAAAACAATAAAGTTGTACTGCATAACAGATCAAGATATCACGACATCTTATTCGACATCTATTCACAATCATGTTTTAAAAAAATATTGTTAATTCACAAAACTATGGTGTCAACAAAACTCTTGTAAGTATTTTATCAATAATATCATGTTTTTAAATACCTTCGTCTCTGAATAAACTCTTATTAAAAGAACCAAAAATTAAGAAATACCGAATTTGATTTTTGATGGAAACAATGCTCAATATTGCGGAAGAGTATCAAATCTTTATGTTCCACTCTTTATCTTTTTGATTTTTCCACTCCAATATGTGTATTATGGATCGGATAAACTTCAAAATAGAAGTTTTTTTTCAAAAGAAATAAAAAAAACAACGTCACACACGGCTGAAAATTACACAAAACAAAACAAAGAGAAAAATGAATCTCCATGATTGGTCAAGACTAAGCCAAGTCAAAGTCTTCCATTTCCCACACCATCATCATTCATCACTCTAAACTAAATTTCCACACACACACAACCAAAAACACCTTACAAATGCATCCAACAACACATTCACACAAATCCCATTCAAACAACCTCAAAACATGTACCTTAATTTCCACTTTCTATTTTCAACTCTTCTCATCTTCACCACCGGCGTCACCGCCGTTAACCCCGGCACCACTCTCTCCGCTTCCAATACCAACCAATCATGGTCCTCCCCGTCTTCCCTTTTCTCCCTCCGCTTCCTCCCCGTCGATCCCCCAACCTCCCCTCCCACCTTCCTCGCCGCCATCGTCTACTCCGGCGGAGCTCCCATCGTCTGGACAGCCGGTAACTCCCTCCCCGTCGACTCCGGTGGCTCCCTTCAGTTCCTAACCAGCGGCTCCCTCCGTCTCGTCAACGGCTCCGGCACCACCGTCTGGGACTCCGGAACCGCCAACCTCAACGCCAAATCAGCCACAGTTGATGATAGCGGCAGATTGGTGATCTCGAATGGAACGAATGATATTTGGTCTAGCTTTGATCATCTTACAGATACTCTTTTGCCTTCTCAGAATTTCAGTGTTGGTAAGGTTTTGAAATCTGGTTCTTATTCGTTTAATTTATCGAATGTTGGGAATTTGAGTTTGTTTTGGAATGATAGTGTAAATTTTTGGAATCAAAGTTTGAATTCTACTGTGAATCAGAATTTGACTTCACCTGTTTTGAGTTTAACATCTATTGGGATTTTGCAACTTTCTGATGTGAATTTGAGTATTCCTGTTGTTATTGCTTATAGTAGTGACTATGCTGATGCTGGTAGTGGTGGGAGTGATGTTCTTAGGGTTTTGAAATTGGATAGTGATGGGAATTTGAGGATTTATAGTACTTCTCGAGGTAGTTCGAATCCGATTGTTCGATGGGCTGCTGTTCAAGATCAGTGTCAGGTTTATGCTTACTGTGGGAACTATGGGATATGCAGTTATAATAATACGAATCCTGTTTGCGGTTGTCCGTCGAAGAATTTTGAGATGGTTAGTGGTGTTAGGCAAGGGTGTAGGAGGAAAGTGAGCCTTGGTGATTGTCGAGGGAATGAAACTATGTTGTCGTTGGATCATACTCAGTTGTTGACTTATCCGCCGGATACTGAGTCGCAGACGTTTTTTATGGGTATATCGGCGTGTAGAGGAAATTGTCTCTCGGGTTCGGGTGCTTGTTTTGCTTCTACTTCTATGTCGGATGGGACGGGACTATGTTATATTAAGTCGGTGGATTTTGTGAGTGGTTATAATAGTCCTACATTGCCTAGTACTTCTTATGTCAAGGTTTGTCCGCCGTTGGATCCGAATCCGCCGCCATCTTTAGGGGAGACGGCGAGGGAGAAGAGTTCGAGAGTACCGGCTTGGGTTGTTGTGGCTGTTGTTTTGGGGACTCTTTTAGGCGTGGTTGCTATTGAAGGTTGTTTTTGGTTTTGGTGTTGTCGGAAAACTGCAAGGTTTGGTGTATTGTCGGCTCAGTACGCTCTTCTTGAGTATGCTTCTGGTGCGCCGGTTCAGTTCACGTACAAGGAGCTTCAGCGCGCGACGAAAGGGTTCAAGGAGAAGCTTGGAGCGGGTGGATTTGGGGCAGTGTATAGAGGTGTTCTTGTTAACAAAACTGTTGTTGCAGTGAAACAGCTTGAAGGAATTGAGCAAGGTGAGAAACAGTTTAGGATGGAAGTTGCAACTATAAGCAGTACTCATCATCTTAATTTGGTGAGACTTATCGGTTTTTGCTCGGAGGGACGCCACAGGCTTTTAGTGTACGAGTTCATGAAAAACAGTTCGCTGGATAATTTTTTGTTCCCGAAAGAAGAGCAATCGGGAAAACAGTTGAATTGGGAGTATCGGTTCAATATCGCACTTGGCACTGCAAGAGGAATCACATACCTTCATGAGGAGTGTCGCGACTGCATTGTCCACTGTGATATCAAACCTGAAAACATTCTCTTGGACGATAATTATGTCGCTAAAGTCTCTGATTTCGGTCTTGCAAAGCTCGTTAACCCAAAAGACCATAGACACAGAACCTTGACAAGCGTGCGAGGAACAAGAGGATATTTAGCCCCTGAGTGGATTGCAAATCTTCGCGTAACATCCAAATCTGATGTTTACAGCTACGGCATGGTTTTGTTAGAGATTGTGAGCGGAAGGCGGAACTTTGATGTTTCCGACGAAACAAATCGGAAGAAATTCTCCATTTGGGCCTATGAAGAGTTTGAGAAAGGCAACATCAAAGGAATTTTGGATAAAAGGCTTGCAGATATAGTAATCGATATGGAGCAAGTTACAAGAGCGATTAAGGTATGCTTTTGGTGCATCCAAGAGCAGCCGTCGCAAAGACCGGTGATGAGCAAAGTTGTTCAAATGCTAGAAGGTGTAAAAGAAATTGACAAGCCTCCACCTCCTAAATTGGTTGTTGAAGGACCAGTTAGCGGAACCAGCACCTACATTAGTAGCAATGTTAGCGCGTTTTCCACAATTGGAGCCTCGCCAAATGTTCCTTCTTCATCATCATCAATTCAAACTAGTGGTGTTTCAAACTTCGCCTTGGGAAGAAACCCTGAGAAGGCAACTTCATCCCTTTTACAGTCAGAAGACCTATGACTTTGGATTCACTACAGTTTCCAAAATCCTTCATTTGCGCAGTCACCACAAAATCAAATATCTGTTTGAAATCTGGATCGTCTCCGATGTGGTGATTATGTGGATCTGAGATTCCGGCAATCTGGATTGCAGATCAATATTTGAAACCACATTAATTTTTTATGATCACGGTCACATTGGCTGGGGATTTATGCTGGAATAGCAAAACTGGACAAATACAATGTATGATATAAGGTATACAATATATATTCTGTATGTTATTTTTATTTTCTTTACTTGATCATTGTATACTAGTTTAAAATAGGAGATTGCAAATTTATAGTGAAGCAATTATCTGTATTTAATTCCTGAAATTTCTGGTTATTGTGTACATCCATATGATGCAGCAGAAGTTTTATACCAAGACTACTGAAACATATTTGTACATTTTCTCTTTTGTAATTTTATTTACTATTCATAAAGATTATTGATTTTTTTTAGCAATAATCAGGTATTGAAAAAAAAATACACAAATAATAATTTTTCGGAAAAAATTACGCAAATAACCATGTTTTAGAAAACACTACAATGGAGGCGCCAAGTGAGATGGCGCAACCTCTTTAATTTTATATGGAGGCGCCAATTGAGGTGGCGCATATGTGCAACATGTTTTCCCTAAGCCATCTCAGATGGCGCCTAAGTGCATTTAGGAAATATTTTTTTTGCTTTCTATTTTAAATACGAGACAATAAGTAAACGATATAGCTTAATGAAACTTCAATTTTTCATTAACAAATGAAATGATTACATAATGAAAAAAAATCATGCATATTATTTAGTTGTCTCCCGGAACTCGATAACGATCTGTGGTTCCGCACCCGAGTCCTCGCCTATCTCGTGGTGGGTTTCGTCGATTTTCCTGTTGCAGTTGGATCGATGGTCCAACGAAGTCAATGCGTTCAGGATTCATGAAATCGGTCAGATTACCATATCTGGAAGATCTGCTTTGGTACAATCGATATCCATGCCCTCAAAGTTTGATCGTCTTGGTGGGGGATGAGGTTTCATGGTATGGTGATGTGGTGATAGATGGTAAGTTGGGTCGGTTGGGTTATATTCTTCAAGAAAGTCTAGATCTGGGCTAAGGTGAGATGATGAGAGGTCCAC